AACATGGCTTAAGAGAGGAATAAAACAATTATTCCATTTTGGATTAGCACTTTCCTGACTTGGTGCTGCACCAATAAACCAAAAGCAGCAGACACAAGGTGGTAGATCACGGGTCTTCAAACTCAGCCCTTTTATGACTCGTGGACTTCAACTCCCAGAATTCCTCAGCCAGCATGCCGAGTTTGAAGACCCCTGTGGTAGATCTTCTCCCTCCTAAGAATCCCGAGTAGTGGGTCTTCATTTTGTCACTTTCAAAATGGCTTTCAAAATAGTTTTTATTTTAGCAGGGTTTTTTTCTCTCCCCAGTGGGTCTTAAGATTTATTTATTCTGCCACCTCCTCTACTGTATTTATGGCCTTCATAACAGCTGTACTGTTTTGTGTTATAGTTTTGCTTCACGTTTAGTTTTCACTTCGCAAGAGATAAATTGCACAAATAAATAAGCTACTACAAGCTATCTTCAACTGGCATCTGCTTGGAAACAGGAGCACACATTAATAAAATAGCCTTTATAAATGTGAGCCCAGAAATATTATTAGGACTTAAGCTTTGGCTAGTCCACTAAAGGCTGCACCTCCACCGCCATTTTTTTATTTCAATGTTGGGCTTCTGTCCTTTGGCAGTTGGGTGAAGTCTACAGCCCACCTGCATCTTATGCCTTTAAAAAAAAGGAAACAAAACTACAAATGACTAACAGATGAGTAGCAACATGAAGCTGAAATAAAGCTTTAACTACAAAGTTAACAACAAAAGGAATACGTTTTTGGAAGCTAATGCCCCATAGAGGCTAAAACACTTCTTTCTGAACCTGGAAATCACCTATTCCAATTTTACTCTGCCATAACCTCCTTAACGTGGCTTCTCGCTATTTACTTAGCTCTTTGTTCTTTTCCCCATCTGCAATGTGGAGGTAACAGATCTATCCAATGATAATATGGCAGGGTGGGACTGAAGTTCGGCTGTGGATCTTGACCTTCTCACCTGAATATCACAAGACTGTTCTGAGGATCAAAGCTATAACATCCTGAGCTTATCAAGAAATTATCAGAAGCATAATATATAGTACCTGGTTCAGCGCTACATAACGACAATAGCACCAATAGACCATAGTCCCTCCTGTTATGACTAGTATTGTATTCCACTCTTCTCAAAGAATCCCAAGACTCCATTTTAGACTCCACAATTTTGAATTTTTAACATAATCTTCACCCCTTTTTCTTCTCAAGAAATTATTATTGTCCTTTAAAAAAAAACAACAACCCCACCAATAGCCCCCAAACTATCCTTTCTAGCTTGAGAAGGAATTAAAAAATGCCAGATTCACAGCAAGGGAAATTAGGAGAGAGACCCTCCTTCTCAGGTATGGAGTCAAATTCCTTGAGGATAACATCATTTTGATTGATCAGCACACACCCTTAAATATTACCTTTATAGAAATGTAAGATTTCAAGAGGCTTTGGAAGACTTCTAATCCACCATGCTGCTCAGGGCAGAAATTTTGATATTATCCCAGACTAATGATTGTCCAATCTTTTCTTGAAAGCCTCCAGAGATGGAATATCCACATCTCTAGAAGGCAGGCTGTCCAATTGTTTAATTGCTCTCATTGTCAAGAAATTCCTCCTTATTCCAAGTTTGGCTCTCCCTCTGTTAAGCTTCCATTGATTTTTGTTTTAGCCCCGTGGTGGCGAACCTATGGCACATGTGCCACAGGTGGCACGCAGAGCCCTTTCTGTGGGCACGCGTGCCGTTGCCCCAGTTCTAGGCCTTCATCTGGGTTTTATAAAACCTTTTCGCTTTCGGCCTCTGCCGTGTGCAAAAAAAAAAAGGTTCAATCAATCAATCAATTTCTACTTTTTGCGGGGGGGGGGGAATCTTGCAAAGTTGGAATTGATTGATTGAACTTTTTAGTCCCACCCAGTCTGCCGTTACCACCGCAGCCACGCCCACCCAATGGGCCATGCCCATCCAATGCGCCACACCCACCCGGCACCTGACGATACATAAGTGGGTTTTGGTTGCAGTTTGGGCACTCGGTCTCTAAAAGGTTCGCCATCACTGTCCTAGCCTCAGGTACTATAGCAAATAAATCCACACTCTCTTCCCTGTGACAGCCTCTCAAATATCAGAAGATTGTTATCATGTCTTCCTTCTACCTTTTCTTTTACAGATTAAACATGCCCAACGCAGTTCAGTGAGGAACAATTACTTCCCATGTTCTCAACATGTACCTTTATTAATGCAGTGCAAAATTGCACTGGCACGTTTGGAAGCTGTAGCACATGGCTAGCTGATATTCAATCTATGGTCTGTCAGAATAGTTAGATCCTTCGCGTAAAATCTACTCCCAAGAGATCTTTGTTCACTTAGAATGAGAAAGGTTTTTTTTTATTATACATGCCTTAAACTTTTTTTTTTATTATATTAGCCTTTTGTCTTCGTTCTTAGTATGGTATTTGTCTTTATAGAAGAGAAAAAATCTTGCCAGATAAATAATAAAAAAAAGGAATTGGTTTTCTGCTACAGAATCAAACCAAACGAAGGGCATGATTCTCTTTCACCTTGCAACATAAAGGAAACGAGAGAATGAATTTGTAAGACTCAAATTGTGCAAAGGAACAGGAAATGCAGTGGCAATCAACAATTTTAAATATTAGATGGATACAAGAAAGCAACAAGCTTCTGTGCGCTTGAAAAAGAAAATTTAAAGAAGCCCCTTGCAAAACTTGTTTTAAGAAAAAGCATGAAGACTGAAAAAAGCAATGTCATCTGACCACTCAGAGGCAAGTATATAACTGTAGCCAAATTTTTAAAATGTAAACTATTTCTTTGGCATCGTTAGATGACTTAAAGAATGACGCAACAGCATCATTTCCTTGATAGCCTCCCCTATTATAGCTAATTCTTCATCCATGCCTTTTTGGATCCTTGCCTCAAAATATGGATTGGTTATTCTTTTCTAAAACTTATAAAGGAAAAAAAATATTGCTAGAAAGATATACAAAGATATACAAAGAAAAGATGGCCTCCTTTAGATCAAACTTTTATGCCCAGACTATAGAGCTGTGAGAATTCACACAGTTAATTGCATAGCAGGGCAGATGTATATAAGAAGAGTATTAATTTGCATAGCAATAGCCCTGGGGGAAAATAGCATTTTCTTAATGGAAACGATGCATTCAATTTTTAGACAATGTAGAGAGGCACATAACTTCTCTTTAGATCACCTGGAATCTTAAACAAACTTGCCACCTGGTAGTTCAAGCCAGCTTTCACAATACAAAATCCCACTGATGCCTATAACTGATAGCTGAAATATAGTAAACAATGAAAACTGAAAACAACTCATTAAGGTTGCAGCCAAAATTACATTGATGTAACGAATCACCCAGGGAAATATTTTGAACAAATCTGAAAAGATGCACGCACAAATATTTATCTAGCTTATTTATATTTAATGCTACATTTTCAGAAATCAAAACACCCAGATGTATCACTTTCATAATGTAACAATTGTAGAAAATGTAACTAATTTTCTGCTACCGCAAGTTACACCAGATATGTTTACAATTCTTATTAGCACAAATTACATACTTTTTAGTATGTAATTTGTAATTTTCAGACAGACATTTGTCTCAGTGGTGGGATTCAAACATGTGAACAACCGGTTCTCTATGTGGACATGTCACTTCCGGAAGTCCATTCTGGGCCTGGGCAACAAAAAATTTGCTACCGGTTCTGCCGAAGTGGTGCGAACTGGCTGAATCCCACCACTGATTTGTCTGAAATGGTATAGGGTTTCCTGCCTAAGCAGGGGGTTGGACTAGATGACCTCCCAGGTCCCTTCCAACTTTATTATTATTATTATTATCTTTTATTCATTAAACAAGAACCTTAAGTCAACTGAACATTCAAATTAGCTGCACTGATGATTGAGACGAGTTACTACCATCATCCTAAGTGTCAACCAGGTATCTCCTTAAAATGTAAGATATTTCGAGTAGCGCAGTTTTTTGTAGCATTGCTGGAGTTATTGCAGGAAATTGTAGTTTCTTGATGTGTTTTGCAAAGTTTTTGGACATAGTTCCCAGTGCCCCGATGACATCCATAATTGTGTAATAATAATAATAATAATAATAATAATTATTATTATTATTATTATTATTATTATTCTAATGAAATTTACCCATCCTGGATCTGAGATGGCACAAGAAGCTTTTTCAGATGTGGACAAGCATAGTGAATAGTCATTTGGTGGTTCTGGAAACCTGTAAATAAGTTTTTTTTCCCCTTCCCCCAGAAAAACATTTTGAATTCTGAGAATTTTCATCTTTGACTTGGCATGTTGATTTGATCTGCATCGGGTCAACCAAGCTCTGAGGCAAGCCGTTTCCAATATGTGGAACTCACAATCTTAACATTTGTCAGATAAGGTTTTATAAAAAAGAGAAAATGTGATTCAACTGAAATCTCGAGGCTTTTCCAAGGGCCCTGGATATTATATAGATTGCAGCAGTTTTACAAATGCATGCAGTGGGACTTTCCCCCCTAAGGCCCTGCCCCTTTATGAAACATCCTTTCTTAACCATAGCCAGTTTTATGACGCCAGCTGACCAGAAACGAGCCACAAAGCTATGAGTATCCAAGTTTCTTTGTTTGCAGAGTCTCTGAATCCGTTCCTTTCACGAACAGTCCAAACGCAGGCACACCATACCACACTCCAGGCTGTTATCTAAGGATGGCACCTATCGTTGCACCACCGTACACATAGTATATTGCACATAGTCAAATCACTAGCAAAGCAGCATAGAGGGATCATTGCTGTGGCATAGGAGAAGCTAAGAAAATGCCCCCCCACACAGCCCGTGGCGATGCTTTGCACCCAGGAAATTCACAAAGCTGCTCTGATGCAGAAAGCAGGAAACAGAAACCGTTTGCAATCTTAGGGGCAACATGTCACTGCCCGGGGAAGCAAAGCCCAGGTTACTTTTTCAACTCACCATGGTTTGTTGGGAAGTGTCCAAGATTGGCAGGATTCCTGGGGCTCCTCGGGTGGGCTTCTGCCCCCAGCTCAGGTCATGGTTTCTCGTGGAGGAGGACTTTTTCCCTCCATGAGGAAGGAAGAAGAGTAAAATAAAGGCCCTAGGAAGCTACACTTTTCCTAGCCCTGGAGGCTCTTCAGGAACCCATCAGACAGGCGCAGGCAGGGGGAAAAAAAATTGGGATTATTTTAAAAGCCTCCACTTCGCCCAAGGTTTCATTTTAAAAGGAGCCCATGGCCAAAAAAAAAAAANGGGGGGGGGGTCCTGCGCCTCGCTCTCCTCGCTAGCCCCCTCCTCCTCCTCCTCCTCGCAGCCCCTGCCTTGGCAACCGCCCCCAATTCCGGACGGGCAACTTCCGCCTCTCCTTCTCCTTCCTCTCCGGCGGCGGGTAGGGGAGAATGGCCACGCCCACGCCCCGCCCCCTTCGCGGCCTCGAGCTCGCCCTCCCTTCCTCTCCGCCTGCCTTCCGGAATCCGACCGCACCGGAAGCGACCCGCTCAGGCGGGCTCGCGCGACCCAGCTCTCTGCCGGAAGTGGCGGCGGGGCGGCGAAAGCAGGCGGGCCTAAAGCTCGCGAGACGAAGCCCCGCCCCAAAGCCGACTCCGCTCTCTCTCTCTTCTCTCTCTCTCTCTCTCTCTCGCGCTCTCGGGCATGCGTAGTGGGAATCAACATTTTTTTTCCCGCCAAAATAGGGGGCGGGGTTTCGCCTTCTGCCTCGCCTTAATCGAGACTTGAAATAAACAATAATAAAAAGAACATAGGTTTTAATCGTCTTAAAATAAATAAAAATGATCCATGAATGAATGCATTCGCTTATTTAATAAATACAATTATTCAGTTTATTCGCTTATTAAATAAAATGGACGGGCCTAAAGTACATTGTTAATTAAATATAAAATATTACCAAGACTAGAATGAGTTAAAATAGTAACTAAAATACTAATAGCTTATCCATTTCAAGAACATTACAGTATTGTTAATTAAATACATTTTTATATTGCACCTACTGTTACTTAGACTAGGAAATTTATATTAAATGATACCTTACCGAGACTAAAATTAGTTAAAATAGTTATTAAAATGTTAAATAAAGTCTAAATATCACAGTATTATTAAGTATATTAATAAAATAGTGGCTAAAGTTAGATAAAATATTAAAATGATAATTTATTATTTATCTCAATAATGTTGCATCATGAATTTATTAATTAAAATGTTATCAAAACTAAACATTTTTACTAATTAAAGTATTGAGAAATTGGATTAAAAATTAGCCTTGGATTGAATGGGTGTCAAACAAAGAAACAAAAAGATTTATCATGTGGGTCTACAGGTAGTCCTTATTTAATGTCCCTAACTGGAACTGGCAACTCTTGTGGTTAAGCGATATATTTACAACAATGAACGAACAAATAAATAATAAATGTGCACTAAAATTACTGCAGAGACCTAGAAATAAAATAAAAAAAAGCAGAGACCTGTAAATAGTCTGCATGTTTTTATAAATACCTGCCCTTATTTTTGATTGTGGAAAAGGCTGCCTTTTCCATTGACACAAAAGTCTCTTTTTAAAGCTTGCACACCCATTTTTATTTATTATTTATTAATTTATTTATTGAATTTTTATGCCATTCAACTTGTTATCAAGCAACTCTTACATTGTGCCTACCATTTTTTTCTACTAGAAAATAAATCCTCTGACCAAAACTAGATTCACAAACCAGATTCATACTTCCTAATTTCATCCTTAATGATGCACATGAGAAAGACGAACCCTGCTACCCAGACGGTCCACCTCCTAGCCAGCAAAACAGCAGTTCAAAAATGTGCAAATAAGCCGATATAATCCCAGGATTACGTGAAATAATATTTGCCCCTGGCAAATGCAGTCTAAAGGAACTGGATGAGGATTTCATTAGAGACACCCTGTGGTTGTTCAACAAACTGGTTTTGATTTGCAGTTGAAAAATGATGCAGATGCTGGTTTCACAGGAATTGCTAGGACTAAATCTTTGCATCTATTCCCCAAGGCAAGTACAAGAATAAGTGGCACGAAGAGAGTGTGAGAGAAATTTATCATATGGTTTAGGAGGTGGCCATGATGGCAGGACTTTGTAGCTTTGCAGGCATGAAAATGCCATTTCCCAGATGGAGAAGAACATCCTGTGCCGAACATAAGAGACTGCATCAATGTTCCCTCTCTTCTTTTTTGCACTTTTTAATGCTGGGACACGGTTGGAATCCCAGGGCTGCAAAACTGTACTAAAATGATAGGAATTTAGGAGAGAGAAAATACTACTTAACAGAAAGTCAACCCTTTGAAATGTTTGAGGGAGTATGATTCTCTAATATTCCAGAGACAAATAGCAAGGCTGATGGTAGAAAAAACAACCATTCATGAGGAAGTCACGAAGTTAAGTAAATTAGGTTCTGAGTAGGACCAACAACTTAAGATATGCTGATGATACAGTTCTGCTTGCCAGTAAGCATGAAGACCTTCAGCTCCTCATCAACAGAGTCACAGAAATATCTGAAAAATATGGCTTGAAGCTTAACACCTCAAAAACCAAGATCATGGTCGTCAGCAAACAATCCGTTAATTTACCACCAATAAATTCAGAAGGAATACCACTAGAAAAAGTTGAAAGGATCGCACACCTCGGTTCTAATTTATATGAAAGCTGGGACATGACCACTGAAGTAAAGACAAGGATAGAGAAAGCTCGAACAGCATTCTTCAAAATGAAAAAGGTCTTCTGCAGTCACGACATAAGCCTAAGACTGAAAATCAGGCTTGTCAAAGGCTATATTTTTTCTATCCTGCTCTATGGAGTAGAGAGTTGGCCTCTGACAGAAGGCCACCTGAAGAGACTAGAA